GCCAAATACTCTCTACTCATATTCTTTTCTGTTCCTTTTGGGAGACCCATTTGAACATGAAGGAAGGGAACGAGAGTGTGGTGGTTTAGATTCCCTTTTTTTTTGAGTCACAGATTTCTGCGTCTGAGCAGCTACAGATCTTCCTGTTCCCTGTGATTGCAGAACACACTAGGACAGTCGGACCAGCTCTAGACTGGCCTGAGGATGCAAGACTCTCACAGCTTGCTTCTCAGAGCTTTCCCTGACCTACTTCCCAGCCAGCTAAACAACCTCCTCAAACCTGAGGGAGGTGTGGGAGAGGGAGAATCCCTCCAAACATTTTCATCACACAATGTTATGAGCTCCGAGCTGCACGCATGGACTCAAAACCTGCCAGCTCATCCCCGCCTTGCTAATGTCCCTCCAGCCCTGATCTCAGCCTTCAGCTTCCAAATAACTGGACTGCCTCTTAGAGGCCACACCTTGAAGGAAAATGCTTCTGGGAGGCCCTAATATCTGGTCCACTTCCTGTATCTCAGATCAACTTAGAGCAAAATAAAAAATACTGTCCTAAAGGCGAGCCAGGTGACATCTGACCAGCTTAGATAGCAGTGTGGTCTGGGCTTGGCTACTCCCTTTTGTGGGTCTCAGGTGTCTGGGGAGATCAGGGCAGTTGGCCCTCAGGCCATCCCCAGCTCCCTGCCTTCTCAAATAGGCAAAAAACGGCACCTGCCAGTTCTCACCCTTTCTGCTTTTTCCTGTATGGCTGGGTGTGTGCCAGCTAAAGCTAAGGCTTTGCAGAGATCACCTAGGAGGCAGGTTCTAGTGTCAGCCTCTTTTATCAGTGAAGAAACAGCCCAAAAGAGGTAGGTGCCTTGCTCAAGGCCACTGCGAATGAGGGCCAAAGCCCGGAAGGGCCCAGCAGTCTAACCCAGGACAAACCCTGCTGCTCAGCCACTAGGACCACGGGTGGGAGCCACTGTGTTCACGTGGCCGGCTTGGGAGCAGAGACGTAGAAGGCCAGGGAGCAGCAGAGCAGAAAGGGGCCTCTCGGTTGGGCATGGCCAAGCCCCTCATCGAGGAGGGAGGGGACCTGCCCCGGCCACTGGGCATTTGCACAAGGGAGCACCTGCCCCTGGGGCATGCTGGAGCAACCCTAGGAAGCCAGAAGGTGGGACCCAGGGGAGGAGAAATTCCCATAACAACCCCACTAAGGAGAAAGAAAGGAGGAAGCGGGAAGGTGGCCAGGGGGCCCACGTGAGGGAGGGCTGTGAGAATCGCTGCCACACGTGTGGAAGGAGGTGGGCGAGTCTGCGGCAGCCTCCTCCCTCCACGTCTTCCTTCTCCAGCGCTATTTCGGAGAGTCCTACTCTATGTATGGGTTTGAGGAGCAGCTGTAGGTGGGTGGCCCAGGGCCAGAATTTTCATGCCAAGGTCCCATTCTCTTGGGAGCTGATTGCAGGCCAGGTGTACAAAGCGGGACCTGGGGGGAGTCAGCCCTGGAACTTTTATTTGCCTAACAATCCCCTAGGTTCGGGGGGGGGGGGGAAAGCCGGGTCTCATCTTCCCCACAGGGATCCTCAGGCATCAGGGGGGCTGCAGCAGGCCTGCTCAGGGGCTTCCCTTCCCTGATACCCTGTTCTGAAGAAAATGACTGTGTGTGTGTGTGTGTGTGTGTGTGTGTGTTGAGGGGGGAACTGTTGAAAGGGTCTCAACAGAGAACTGTCCTCCACAGGAGCTAAGCCCTGTGGTTCTCCCCTAGGGGCAACTTTGTTCCCCAGGAGACATCTGGCAACGTTGGAAGATGTATTTTAAAGTCATAGTCTGGAAAAGTGGGTGGGTGGGGGTTCTGGCATCAAGTGGGTAGAAGCCAGAGATGCTGCTAAACATCTACAAAGCACAGTTCAGCTTCCCCTCCCCCCCCACAACAAAGACTTAACCTGCCCCAAATGGGAAACGTGCTGAGGTCGACAACAATTGGTTGCTGAGTCCATTCCCATCTCTACCCCCTTCCCCAGGAGTCTTGAACAAGTACTTGCCCTGCATCCCATCTGCTGTGCAACCATGTTACAAGGGAAATGCTAAAATCACAGTCATTTGGGTCCTGTGAAAAGATAAGCACAGCCAGGTGGGCCTTTGCCATTCTCTTCCCATGCCCATTCGATTCTTCTCGGTGGGGTCTGGGAACGTGGAGGAGGCTTTGGTGCACTTCACGAGCGAATGGTGCCACTTAGTGGTACCAGGGTCAACAGCAACAGCAGGAACATCTCCAAGAACTGGAAACTGTTAATAGTTAGCCGGCTTAGCTGTGAAGAAAGTTTCTATGGAAAAAAAACGGGGTCCACCCAAATGAGAACAAACAGAGGCTATTTATTCAGAGATTTCTGTAGCAGGGAAGTCAGCCACCATCACTTGCACATGGCAGAGACTCAAATACCCGCGAAGACTCAAATGCTAGGTTTATAGAGAAAAAAAAAAAAGGCTTCAGGTGTGCCCTAATTGGCGGTGGTTGGCACAAAGCAGCTGGAGGCCTGGGCATACCCTGTGATCGGTTTGGAGAAGATATTTGGCTTTCTCTGGTTGGTCCTGAGATGGAAGTGGGGGATGAAAATTAGAGAAGTTGGCAGTCATTGACCAAGTCCTGACTGTCCGGGGCCAGTGGCTGCAGAGGCCGAGGGTCCGAGTTCTACTGTCATATATTGGCCAGTGTCCATTTGTATATTTAGTCTCTTAAGTCATTAACCATCGCAAATACATTTGTGCTGTTACTAATCCTGAACCAGATTACATAAAATGACCCATGTGAGAAGCAGCTTGACTGCAGATCAACATCTGCGATTTTTTTTTAAAGAATTTATTTATTTGACAGAGAGAGACACAGCGAGAGAGGGAACAAAAGCAGAGGGAGTGGGAGAGGGAGAAGCAGGCTGGGTGTCCGATGTGGGGCTTGATCTCAGGACCTCGGGATCATGACCCAAGCTGAAGGCAGACACTTAATGAACGACTGAGCCACCCAGGCGCCCCAACATCTGCGATTTTTAAAGGCTGCCCTTGCAAATTCTGAGTTAGGGTTCATACTTGATAGAACGGTGTGATTTTGCTGCCCACGTGCCTTAATATGGATGACATCATTCTCCTCATTGACAGTCACGTGGACCCCAGGAATCCCTCAACTTCACCTGCTTGGGTGACTATAGATCCTTGAGAAGTTGCACCTCTAACCCTACCACGACCACCATCACCAACAACACCACCATCCCCACCTCTAACACGGGGCTACAGCCCCCAGTACCCTCACCATCACCTGTTTCTCTCCCCCTTGCTGTTTAGAGCCATATGACCTTCCTTTGGTTCCTCAAGGTTAAATCAAACCAACAACCCCCGCCCCCAAATTCCCACACTCAACTCCTTCCTCTTGAGGGCTTTATTCTTTACATGTCTGAACACCCTTCCTCTCCAAAGTAGCTGCCATCCTTGGGGTTCTCCCAATTCTTCATTTCTTTCATGCTCTTGCCACATTGAAATTGCACATTATGTGTTCCCCTGCGGGGTCTCCCTCACGAGTGACCATCTTGTAAGGGCAGGATGTGTGTCTCCGTGTGTCTCCGTGTGTCTCCATGTCCCGGGGCCTAGCATGATACCTAGTTTTAATACATATTATGGAGCCTTGATAATATTAGATTCTGCTTAAGAAATACGTATTGGGATCAAAAAGTGTTGGTTGAATGAATAAGCATGGTTTTTCAGGAGCCACTCCTCAAGGTCCAAACACATTCCCCAAATCAATGCTGCCTGGAACTCTCCGTCCAAGGATAACCTCTCCCCGCCTCTCCTCACATTCTGCTTAGCTGAAAACCCTCCCTGTGTGCAGAACGGGCTTTCAATTCACTGCGCGTCTCAGCGTTTCCATGCCCTTTGTAAGAAAAGTTACAAAGATGTCCGTGGAGACTGAGAGGCACGGAGGAAGGGGAGGGCACAGAGGGTGCCTTTGCATTTTGCATTAAACCTATTTATGGAATCCAGGACCCGAGAGCCAGGCTAGCTTCTGAGGGTGTCCGCGCCGCTTCCGCTTTAAGGGGCGGAGCCCGAGCGGGCGGGCGGGGCGCTCCCGGAAGACGCGGGCGCCGAGTCCTCGACGTCGGATCCCCAGCCCTCCGCGCGCCCTCCACGGCTCTCCGCGGCCGGACTCCGGCCCTCCGCACCCCTCTCCCCCGCCCTCTTCACCCTGATCCCCAGTCCTCCCCTCCCCACTCTCTCCATCCCGATCGCCGGCCTTCCGCACACCCTTCCCGCTGTCGGCGTCCGGATCCTCGGGCCCTCATCTTTGAACCTCTGCACCCCTCACCTCCCGGCCCCTGGCTCTTCCGGACCCGGGCACCCGGTGCCTGGGTCTCCGGCGGTCCGCACTGCCCCTCCCCCACGCCGCGGCTCTCAGCCCTTTGTCCCGGGTGTGCCTTCCAACTTCCCCCGCACCACCCTTGCCTCCACCCCCCCCCCCACCCCGGCTCTCGGCACCCGGGCCCTCCGCGCCGACCTCCACCCCCACCCCCGCCTAGCCCCTCCGCGCTGTGGCCCTCGGCGGGTGCCCGGCCACCGAGCTGGTGGTGTGGGGTGACCCCGCGCCCGCCAGGCTCTGGCTCCGCCCGCGCGGCCACCTCGCGCAGGTCGCGTCCCCGCTCTGGGCCTGGCCGGGCGTCTGGCTTGGTGCCTCCGGTTCTCACAGTCGGTGCAGTTCTGAAAGCCCCCGAAGGCGCAGCCGGCTTCAGGCCTTAGGTTTAGGCGAGGTACCGGGAGGGAGTGGGGTGGGGAGCGGGGACGGAGGGGCCGGGCTGCGCGGAGCCTGCCCACGCTTAGCCTGCACGCGGGGTCTGAGCGGCGCCGGATCTCGCTGGTCCCCCAGGCCTAAGCGGGATACTCAGCTGTGGCCCTGGACTCGTGTCAGCCTTGCCTAAAGCGTGAACATAGATGGGTGCCCTTTAGGCCGGGGGCAGGCAGCCTAGGCCGGGGACCTCTGGGAGAGGATGGTGACCCCCTGGCGCTTCTCCGTCAGAGTCTGCTTGTCGCACCTAAGGAGTTTGGAGCTCCGAAAAGAATTCGGCCTTTTAAGATCATCTGGATGCTCTCGTAATGCCAGACTCTGTTGGCTTCTCCTTGGTACTTTACCCAAACTTATCTCAGCCTATGGGGACACTGGTGAGGGGGCTCCTGAGAGTGTGTGCCGGCGAAGAGCCGGCTGGAGTGACCTGGCTGAAAATGGGCCTCTGGAGAGAGTCTCCCACGAGGGGCGGCTAGGATGCCTCTTTCTGCACCTCCGTATCTGGCTCCGGGCTGGGGCTCTCTTGATGAAATTCTTCCCCCTCCTGCTCTTCTACCCCCTCACCTACCTGGCTCCCAGCGTCTCCAGCCTGTGGCTCTACCTGCTTCTGAAAGCCACAGAGACCTCAGGCCCGACATACATCAAACTGGGCCAGTGGGCCAGCACCCGGCGCGATCTCTTCTCAGAGGCTTTCTGCGACCAGTTCTCCAAGCTGCATGTCCGGGTGACCCCCCACCCTTGGACTCACACTGAACACTTCCTGCGCCAGGCATTTGGGGAAGACTGGGGGAGGGTCCTCTGCTTTGAGAAGAAGGAACCTGTGGGTTCAGGCTGTGTGGCCCAAGTGTACAAAGCACGTGCCAATCCCGCCTTCCTGGAGCATGACAGCGTCCAGAGACTTGCTAAGGCCTCCCGCCTGCAGCCTTCTTTAGAAGCGGGGCCAGTCTGGAGGCTGGGAGAGCTCTTTGGCCCCCCGGGGAAGGGGTGGGGGTTTCCAGGAAGTCTTGCCGACCAGTCATTTCTAGAAAGGCTGCTTCTCCCTAAAGCTGACCTGGTTGGATCAAATGCAGTCGTGTCTCAGTCTTCAGCACCTGCCCACCAACTTGAGCCAGATCACCTCATCCCCGTGGCAGTGAAAGTAAGTGCTCGGATGTCTTCGGCTGGTCCTTCCTGTCTAAAGTTTCACCGGCTCCACAGAGCGGTCCCGGGTCAGGAACCCCCATTTGCAAGTCACCCCACATTGCCTTCCACTGATTTTTATTAGCTTGACCTTTGTGTGCCTGTGCTGAGCACGCTGTATTTCTCGGTTCGAGGGAGTGGTTGTGTGAAGAGTCTGATAAAGGAAATGAAGAGGGTTTGGGGTCCGCTGCCTCTCTAGGTGGAGGAACCACGCCCCAGCTGACCCACTCCTCTGGGGCCAGGATAAGTCAGGGACAGTCTGTGGCGAGCCCAAGACGGCGGTATTCATTTTTACAGAAGTGGCTTCCTTCTCTCTTCTTTTTTAATCACCCCTGCCTGGGCTCCATCATTTTTGTCTCCACACTTTTTTGTCCCTGTTCAGCATGATCCCAGGGATCTGGCAGACCCCAGTAGCAGGTACTCCTTGATGCTCTCTTACACCTCCTTGGAAACAACCCTCTGTTCAGACCCACTGAATCATACTTTCCAAGGCCTGGGGCCTGGCTTTTTATAAATGCTGCCAGTGATTCCCGTGAGCAGGCACGTTTGGGGAACACTGGACCAAAGTACCCTCTTGCTCTGGGGAAGACACAGGAGTGGATGGTGCCAGTCATGGTGGATGCATTATTTAGTGTGTACAAGCTGCCTTTGAGATAGGCATCTGCTTAACTTACATCTCTATTTATATCTCTGCTTTGTTCCTGAAAGGACTTCATTGGGGGGGGGGGTAAGGACTGTTACCTCCATGTTTTGTTTTTAGATTTTATTTATTTATTTGAGAGAGAATAAGCAAGAGAGAGCACGAGCAGGGGGGAGGGGCAAAGGCAGAGGGAGAAGGAGACTCCCCATTGAGCAGGGAGCCCGCTGTGGGGCTCGATGCCAGGACCCCGGGATCATGACCTGAGCTGAAGGCAGATGCTTAATCGACTGAGCCACGCAGGTGCCCCCTATCTCCATGTTTTAAAAAAGAGGAAAAGGGGGTGCCTGGGTGGCTCAGTCGTTGAGCGTCTGCCTTCGGCTCAGGTCATGATCCCGGGGTCCTGGGATGGAGCCCCGCATCGGGCTCCCTGCTCGGCGGGAAGCCTGCTTCTCCCTCTCCCACTCCCCCTGCTTGTGTTCCTGCTCTCGCTATCTCTCTCTGTCAAATAAATAAATAAAATCTTAAAAAAAAATAAAATAAAAAAGAGGAACAGGAGGCTGAAGAGGTTGAGTAGCTTGGCCAGTTTCAGACTGGGAATGAGATGCAGAACCAACAGGCATTTGAAAGCAGACTCTCCATCCCACCTCTCTGCATCCTCGCTGGGGTTCTGTGACTCTACATCCTTCTCTGACTCAGGCTTTGGACTCAGTACCTGGTGTGCTCAGTAAAAATGCAGATTCCTGGCCCCATGCCCAGAGTCGGTGATGCAGTAGGTCTCGGTGGAGGCCCGGCTGTCCCCATCCACACCGGGTACTCCACAGTGCCTTCGATGCACACTGATGTTTGGGACACCTAAACTTCATGTATTTGGAAGGAAAAGCCCACCTGTTCTTCCCGGCAAAGCTAAGCGCAGCGCAGAGGAGCTGGCCCTGGTATCTGAGCGAAGGCACGCAGGAGTGAGGGAGAGGAGGGTCTCGGGTGTTGGGACCACATGCGTTCCGCTCTGATGAGAAGCTGGCTTGGCTCCCTGATGCTGGGGCCCCATCCCGTCAGGGTGAACGTGCCCTCCTGACCCCTCCCTGCCTCACTGTTCTCCTTCCTGGCAGGTGCTGCACCCTGGCTTGCTATCTCAGGTGCAGATGGACCTGCTGCTGATGAAGATGGGCAGCCGAGTCCTTGCGCTTTTGCCGGGAATCAAGTGGCTTAGTTTGCCTGAGATCGTGGAGGAATTTGAGAAGCTCATGGTCCATCAGGTGAAGTCTCCTTCCCTCAGTTGCAAATTGCATCTCACATAGTTCTTGCTGTCAGCTGTTTAGCAAATGCTGAATGGATGCGTGACTTCCCAGTGTGTCACGGCCAGTATGGTGTGGTGGTCGGGTAGGTAATGCTAACTGACGTAACAAAGAATGACCAGATCTCAGAGGCCAAATGCTACGAGGTGATTTCTTGCTCCTGTCAAAGTTCCATGCCAGTGAACTGAAGGAGGGAGAGGGAGCTCTACTCCATAGTGACTCAGGGACCCAGTTTCCTCCCAAGTTGGGCATGGTCATCTTCAACCTATGTCATCTTGGGTCAGTGTGGAATGGGGAGGAGACCATGGAGGATCCCGTAAGAGATCTGGGGCCTTCTTAGTCCACAGGCCAGAGCTTAAATGCCACAGCCCAGTGTAACTGTGTGTGCTTGGGAAGCTGTCTTCCTTACTGCCTGGCAGGAAAGTGCAGGATTATGGTGGGGCCTTCAGCATTATTACCTGTACCACAGGCAGCCGCTGAACTCCCAGGTGAGAAGAATTAGTGAAGTCGTGCACTGTGCCTTTGCTTTGTTTCCAGGCCCTCCTCCCTGTCCAGGACCCTTGGAATCCTTGCTTAAGTAGCGAGACTTGGTGAACACACTTTGGGGGCAGTCAGGGCTCCAAGTGGGCAACCATCCTGGCTCCCTTTTGGAGAGTGCAGAAGTTGGCAGTCTTTCAGGAGCAATGTGCTAGGTCCTCATTTATGTCCTCTGATGTAAGGTTTTAAGTCCCAGGAATGCATTTTAATGTTTAGAAAGCTTTGCTGTATGCTATGGAGTAATGTAGTTTTGATAATAAAAGAAGATTAAAAGAGAGAAAATAGCTTCTATTCCCACAGCCATCTTCGCATTACTCTCAGCCCTACCACCCATGAGAGCTTTGGTTCCCCTTCTAGAAGTCTTAGAGCCAGCATGGGGGTAATGAGTGAGATTTTCTCATCCATAAGGCAGGTATCGTAGGCAGAGTAAATATTTTACGGACAGACCGTAAATATTTGCAAATAGAGCAGTATCTCAGAGACTCCTGTAGAAGTCTCTACAGGTTCAGCTGGGTTCAGCTGGGGCCCAGAGAGGAAGTGGTCATTCTGTCCTGATGGTCAAGGCTCCCCAGGCTCAGGCTGAGTCTTGGAAGGTGAGTGGTGTTTACAGTTAGACCAAATGGGGGAAGAACGTTCCCGTCAGAGGGGATAAGGAAGGCAAAGGAGAGAGGGGGAGGCTCAGGTAGGCTGGGATGTTCAGCACCATACAGACTGGGGGAAGCTAGAGTTCTGGGCCAGAGAGGAAGTGGGAGGCACAAGAGATGGATCTGGAGAGAGAGCCACCTTGGATGTCATCCTCAAGAATTTAGACTTCATCCTGAGGGTAGTGGGGGGGGGCACCAGCAGATGGATTAGAGAGAGGGACGACGGGAGTCAGAGAGCCCCACTCAGGTGCCTCTGTTAGGGCTCCGGTGACTGGCTGCGAGTCAGCTCGGGAGCCACGGGGCGGTGGGGTGGAGCTGAGCGTGCCGAGACTGCAGCCCACTGTGCGGAGGCCACTGTGCGGAGGCCACTGTGTGGAGGCCAAGAGAGAAGTAACGTGCAGCCAGGGGAGTGGGGGCAGTAAGTTCTCTTTAGACACAGAGTTTAAGGGGCTACCGCTTGAAGAGAAGTGCGGAGCTGGTAGCAGGGTCTGGCCGGGGTCTGGCCAGGAGACTGTGGTCTTGTCACGAGGAGGTGCCAGCTGAGGATGGAGGCGATGGAGGCGGGGGGGGGCACAGGCTGGTGAAGGGCAGCAGCTGAGAGAGCATCAGCACGTGTGGGGCATGCCGAGGAAGAACGGCCAGGAGACCAGACCCAGATGGAGCGGTTGGAGGCTGGGGGAGGATCGTGGGGGGGAAGTAAACAGCAGGTGCCAGGAGATGGGCTGTTCAGGAAGAAGGGGGTCCTCAACGGCACCAGTACCGGGCGCCCCGAGAGCTCATTAGGATAAAGGTGGGAGCGGTCCCTTGAGTCAGGCACGCGAAATGCTTGGTGAGTGTAGGGAGCAGGGTCAGTGCAGTGGGCGGAGGGGAGCGGGCTGCTGGAGACCAGTGGAGACAAACCCCTGGGACATGGGGAAGGGCTGCATGGGCTGGAGTGAAGGGGGGTGAGCGGAGAGGGAATGGCGGGGAGGCAGCCAGGCCCAGGTTCTGCAGGGGTGTCTGCAGCTGTAGCTTCCAGAGGTTCATGGAGGCAAAACCACCCCTCCCGAGTCTCCTGGGGCGTTCTGCAGGAAGGCAGGGGGGGAAGGCCCGTGGATGTGGGGACTGGCTAGCCCTATGGTGCTGCAGATGCTGCCATCCCGGCGCCCAGGTCACCCCTCATCTCTTCTCTCCATACCCCTCTAGATTGACCTGCGTTACGAAGCTCGGAATCTAGAACACTTCCAGTGCAACTTCCTGAATGTGAATTCTGTCAAATTCCCCACCCCTCTGCGTCCCTTTGTCACCAGGGATGTCTTGGTGGAGACGTACGAAGTAAGTGAGAGCTTCCTGGGGCTGTGCCTTTCGCTCACGGCTGGGCCATCTCTGCTGAAAAGACAGAAGCCAAGAGAGCATGTGATTACTGTCCGTAAAGCTGAGGGGAGTTCAGATACGGGGTGGGGAGGCAGCAGAGGGAGATGGCTGGGAGCCTGAACGTGGCCCCAGACTTTTCTGGGCTTGAAAATCTTTCCATTTTATTTGCTGGTGACTTCATTTTCCTCCTGTGTAACAGTGGGCACCTGTCCCTGCCTTGTAGGCTTGTCCCAGGAGTCAGTGACACGTTGAATGCAAAATGCCTTCAGCACAGAGTTTGCAAAGAAAAAGTGCTCAGGAAGGTGTTGGTGTCACATCGTTGGCCTTAGCTGTTGCCTGGTCCGGCCTCCTTTGTAAAAATGGTAACGTGAGATCCAGGGAAGTGACATGAAAGACCCACTGTTACTGGCTGTGTGACCTTGAGCAAGTTACTTAAACTCTCTGGGCTTTAGTTCTTCTCTTTGCTACTGAGGAATAACAAGATCGATCTCAATGGGCACTTGTCTCCGTGGACAAATAACTAACCTATATGAAATGTTTCCTTTCCCCTTTCGTCTCTTTCTCCCCTTTCTTTCCTGCTCGAGGTCACAGAGCTCACTCATGTCCCTGTTGGCTTTCCTGAGGCCTGCTCCTGTCTTCTCTCATGACATTACAACATCTCTTATCTGTGGGTGGTGGAGTCACGGGTTTCCTCCATAATAAGCCTATGGGACTTGTTTTCTTTTGAGAAGTGTTACAGAAGGGAAGAGCAAACAGGTTAAAATTAACTTGTGGGTGACAGATTCAGAGGGATTGTAAGGAAGGGAAAACTCTTTGGGAAGAGTCGGGATGGGAAGGTGGCGCCGATGTGTCCCGTGGGGATGAAGAGCAGGGCACTGGGCGGGCTGTCCAGGGTAAAGCTCTCTCTTTCCTGACCTTCTTTAAAGGAGAGCGTGCCCGTGTCCAGCTACCAGCAGGCGGGGATTCCCACTGACTTGAAGAAGAAGATTGCACGGCTGGGGATCAACATGCTCCTGAAGATGGTGAGCTCGTGGGCTTGGAGAGGGTGCTCTGGCCCCGCAGGTGGTCGAGTTGTGTGTGGGGAGGTGGTGGAGACACCGGTCGGCTGCCATGGGCGGTGGGGGGTGAGCAAAGCAGCAAGCTACCACGGTGAGAGTCTGCTCTGGAAGTAGCCCCTTCATTCTGTGCCTTTCTGTTAAGCACAGTCTTGGGGGCACGCATTCTGTCACCGTGCCAGGTGCTGTGGGAAGAGCGGGGAGCCAGACCCAGGCCCTGCCCACATTGCCTATAGTTTAGACAGCCGAAGGTATCGTATGTTCAATGGCACTTCATTCATTCATCCGGCAGTGTTTATCGAGCACGTATTCTGTGCCAGGCACTGAATTAAGTGCTAGATTTACAGTAGTGAGCGAAACAGACATGATTACAATGTTCATGGAACTACCGTTCTCTGGGAAGACAGGCCACAAATAAAGGACACAGGTACCACAGGGTCATTTAGGAGGGGCCTGTCCCGGCCTCGGGATTTATTCAGGAAGTGGCACCATCTGAGCTGAGATGTAAAGTCTAGGTGTCACCTACGAGGGGACAGCCTGACGATGAAAAGGACACTCGTAGAGGGACATAGTGAGCCCTCAGCCGTGTCAGCTTTCAGGCATTCATAGCAGCTCACGTGGAGCAGTGAAGGAAGAAGGTACGGAAGTGTAGGGCCTGAGCTCTTCCTGGTGGCCGGCACGGAAGACCGTGGTCGAGGGATGGATGGCCCGTGGTTGGCGGGAAAGAGGATGAGCGTCCAGGCCTGGAGGGTGCAGGGTCTGGGTGAGAAGGAACCGGGTGGGAGGGCAACCCACGTGACTGACGTGAGCCGTGGGGAACGAGGCCGGTGGCCAGAGTGGGGCAGGGGTGGGAACAGGAGCTCGGAGCAGGCCCTGCCTCCACCTCTCGCCTCTAGTGGAAAGTCAGCAGCCCCCACCCGAGGGGCTCCTGGAGCGGCGGGATTGTGTGGGGAGAGCTGGGTGTCCACTCAGTCGGTGCCATGGGCGTTCAGTGGGGAACCAGGCCCCAGGGCTCCGAGGGCACCCTGGGCCGGAGGGGAAGCTGCAGTGGGAGCAGCTAGGGGAGAAGCAGGACCAAGCGGACCCAGGAGACGGGAGATCATGACGGGCTCCAGCTTGCAGGATGGAGGACGGGGGCGAAAGCTGGGGGGCTAAGCTGACAGCCATGTGCCAAGAGGTTCAGCCCTGGGGTCAGGGGTCAGCCAGCCCTTCGAACCCACATCCGGCAGGTGTGCCAGCCCTGGCTTCTCTAGTTCTCAGGATTTTCACCAGGGAAGCAGCCTGTTGCCGCCTTCAGAGCCAGAACCCGGACCGGGGGGATCTCTGTGTGGCCTGGGGCTGCGGCAGGAGGAGTCCCGGAGCCTCTGTAGCGGCAGTTCTCGGCACCGTCCTCCGGGCTCTCCTTCCCCTTTAGCAGCACTGCGGGTGGTTTCTGACGACAGAGACGACCTCATTCCTGCCCCACGAATCACACCTGACTTGCGTAGTCCATCGTAGTCCCTGGGGCTTTCTTTCCTGCTTAGTAGGTTCAAAGCCACTTCCCCGGCCCACCCGATTCTGTGTGCCGGGATGGTTGTTGGTATCACGGTCAGACGTCACTGGGATGGGCAGATGGAGGTAATGGAGGGGAAGTCTGATTTATGAAAAAGTTTTTAAAAGATATTTATTTTTATTTATTTGACACACAGAGAGAGAGAGAGCACAAGAAGGGAGAGCGGCAGGCAGATGGAGAGGGAGAAGGAGGCTCCCTGCTGAGCAGGGAGCCCGATGCAGGGCTCGATCCCAGGACCCTGGGATCATGACCCGAGCCGAAGGCAGATGCTTAACCAGAAATAATTTTTCTCTTAAAAATGTCAACCTGGCCTCTGCCAGTACAGATTCTGAATGCATGACATAAGCAGTGAGCCTTTATGAAATGGTGTACTCAATCCCTGGGCACTCACTGTCACCTTGGAAGCTTTTTTGCACACGGCCTGGTGGTGATGGGGTGGCCAGGGGTGACTCTGCCTTGAACAGCGCTGATCTCCTTTCAGATATTTGTGGACAACTTTGTCCATGCGGACCTCCACCCTGGGAACATCCTGGTCCAGGGTGCCGACGGTCTTTCCGGGAGTCCAGAGGCACAGCTGCAGCAGGTGGGGGTCTGTGACGCGCTGGTGGGGGCCACGCCGCCTGCCTGCCACCCGCTGCGCCTGGTGCTGCTGGATGCCGGCATCGTGGCAGAGCTGCAGGCTGCTGACCTGAGCAACTTCCGCGCCGTTTTCATGGCTGTGGCGATGGGGCAGGTGAGACCCACTGGGCCCGCGGGAGCTGGGGACGATCTTGAACTGCGGGGCCCCTCGGCCCTCGTCAGTCTTGTAAATGCGTCCGTTTGCCTCTGGTGCTCCCGACGGACGGAGTGGAGTGAGGGGGGAGGGATCGGGAGGGAGAGGGGGAGAGAAAATGAAGCCAGCCGAGGGGTCTTTAGTCAGAATGTGCTGAGGCCCACGTGTGTCACCTGTTCTGAGTAGCTCATGGTTTGGGACCAGGGGAGGAAATGGCTCCACCCTGAATGCTGCCTCCTGCAGGGAGTTTCTCTCCCCTCCTCGGCAGGCCTGCGGGTGGGCGCTGGGAACACTGGCTTCTGGTCCAAGTCACAGCCGGCCTGGCCTGTGCCACTTGCTACAAGACGGCAGGCCGGTGACAAGCCCCAACACAGACTTAGCCTCCAAGGCTGGGACGATCCCTTGGGATCTGGAGTGGTTTTTGACTCCTGACCCTTTGGCTGTGAGGGGCTCCGGTGGTTGAGAATTATTATTTACAGAAAGGGATTCAGCACAACCTCTACTGAGTCAAGAGTGACAATGAAGAAACCCTCCGACCAACTGGTGTGGAATTTTCCAGCAAGAAAGACCCTGGCAAAGAGAGAACTGTTTTGTTTTTGTTGTTGTTGTTGTTTTTAATAAAGGCAAAATTCAGGGGAGCCCCTGTTCCTTTGGGAGCCTTCTGAGGGGACAAACCAAAGGCTTGAGCCTGAGACAGTTGAAAGTGTCCCCTGAGTCAAGGTTAAACACAGGTGCAGTGGCAGGTGGAGGGTGGGGGGACGTTCCCCTGCACAGGTTGGGGTGAAGGAAGGTCACAGCCAGAGAGGAAGAGCTCGGCTCCCAGGGCGGCGCTGGGGGAGGCAAAACGCTCTGGGAGTGACCACTAGGGCGTTTAGGGGGCCCGGGAAGTTCTGGTCTGAGGGTGCCCAGGGCAGAGGAGGAGGTGGGAGGCTGGAGCACAGAGGCTGCGCCAGGTGTGAGGAGGGAATGCTCCTCGGCCAGGAAGAGAGCCCACAAGGCGAGTGTGGCCGATCGAGTCCAGAGGCAGGTCCTGGTAACTCTGGGGACGGGCTGGTCGGTCAGCAGGGCCTCGTGGAGCGTGAGCGGCAGGACGCTGGCTTTGCCGCCGTGCCCTGCGTGGCTGTTGAAGGTGAAGGAGATGAACACAGCTCCTGGCCCTGGCTGCGCTAGCCCAGGGGGGCTGCCACCACTTTCAAAGCCTCTGTGGGTTACCAGCTGTTCTGGAGGGGGGTGAGATTAAAAAAGGATGCGTGGTCAAAGGCAGGATGGTTGAAACCTTGGGTAGAAGCAACTAGGGTATGAGGCAGAGCGTCTAGTTTTATGGTCTCTTGACTCTACCAAGGTCTTTCTTTCACGTCTTGTAGGGCCAGAGAGTGGCCGAGCTCATCCTGCGTCATGCCCGGGCCAGCGAGTGCAGGGACGTGGAGGGGTTCAAGGCTGAGATGGCCACACTGGTGACCCAGGCCAGGAAGAACACCATCACCCTGGAAAAGGTGAGCAGGCCACTCGGGGGGTGGAGGCCGTGGGGCGTTTACCGCCCTGGCCCTTAGATGGAGCAAAGGTCCAAGGGAGACCCTGTTTATGGGGAGCTGGGGGTTGAGTGGGGTTGAGTTTTAAGGCAGATAAAGAGCAAACCTGTCCTCTGCCCGCATCTTCCGGGTGTGAGGCAGGCCCCTGGAGTCCCTGGCTTCCAGGAGTGGCTCCGTGACCTGGTGGCATTTATAGTGCCGTAACCCCTCCCTGTCCCGGGTGCAGCCATTCTGCTGCTTCGCCGGGATCAGGAGCTCGGCTGAGCAGGGAGGGAGGGAGGACTAAGGCCCTTGAGCAGCCAAAGGACATACCTAACGTTCATGTCCTTTATTTACACCTGAACCAAAGCCCACTCTGTGTTTTAGACACAGTTCTAGCAAACTTGACTGTTTTCTCACCGAGTGCATGGTCTACACTAGCAGGAGTGAGTCAGAGCAAGGAGTGGCCCCCTGGTCGTGAGGATCGGCGGCTGGCAGGCCGGCCCTGCGGATCTCATGGATTCGGATGTGATTCTGTGTGTGCTAGGAGTGACGGGAGTGATAGGGCGGACGGGCCTCGAGGCTCGGCTCCGGCAGGGGTCTTTGAACTCACTAGTGCGATGGGGGCTGTGCTGGTGCGCAGCTGGTGTCCGACAGCTGGTGTGTGGGTGTGGGCGGGGGGCGGTGGTTGCTAGTGTGGGTGTGAGCGGGTGTGGGTGGGAGGACGGGGAGGGACGGGGCCTGCAAGGGAGAGGAGCGGTGGAGGGGACTCTGCAGTCAGTTTTGTCCTGTTTTCCAGCTTCAAGTTTCCAGCCTCTTGTCGAATGTCTTTAAGTTACTGATGACGCACAAGGTGAGGCCCCCGGCGGAGCTGAGCCCCCCGCACTCTGGTCAGGCTGGCGGGGAGGGGTCTGGGGGAGCGGGCGGGTGGCTGCAGGGCGCTGAGAGGGCCTTCTCCTACAGGACAGCTCAGCTGTGCCAGCGTTTGCCGTACCAGTCCGTTTGTGTGAAGTGCGCCGTTTCTGTTTCCTGACACGGTCGTGCCGGGGTCTCTTCCTCGCCACAGTCAGTCTGGGTATTGTCAGTCTAGCAGTCTAAGTACTCGTGACCCCTAGCCGGAGGAATATGTCTATCCAAATGCAAAAACTGCCTAACTCAGGCTCTTCATACCTTTTCCCTCCTCAGTTCATGTTACTGATGCTTAGTCTTAATGTAAGTCATACTTAGTTCTTTCCTGGGGTCGGGGCGGCCCAAGAGGAGGTGCCTCTTGCCCTGGTGCATTTGGAGGCCCCAGCGGGGCTGTCCTGGCCCCAGCCCCTTGGAGGGTGGCGGCCTTACGGTTCTTCACATTGGCCTTTGCCTCGGGCTCTGTCTCCGTGTGATGGAGGGTGCTCTTGGGCCACTCTTCAGAGCCAAGCCGCCAGCGAAGGGTGTAAGGCATCGAGGGCAGGGCAGGTTCTCCTCTGAAGACGGCCTTGTCCATTGTTTCTCTTGAGGTTCTGCAGTCTGATAATGAAACACTGCATGGGAAAGGCAGCTGCTTGACAAGGATCATAACACACGACTGAGAGAAGGTTGTGTGGCCGAGCACCTTCACTTTACAGAAGGCACGAGGGAGGCAGGGTGGTCCGCTCGCCTCTCTGGGCCTCGCGGGCGGAGCCAAGACCTGACCCACAACCGGGTCTCTCCGTCCCGCGCTCTCTCTGCGGCTCCACAATTGCTCTGCAGCGGCTGGGTGCTCGGAACAAAACCGACACGCAGACTGAGGGTCCCCCAAGGATGCCATGGACTCATGGGGTAACAGGTGCAGCGAGCACATGTGGGATGCCTGCCACCTGGACTCGGTCGTGCTGGGTGCTTTTCATCTAGTCTCTCATTCAAATCTCAGGACAATCCCCACTGGCAGGTATGATCTCTGCCATATTATCCGCACGAAGAGACGGGCACTGAAAGGTCAGGTGACTCCCCATGTCCCACCGACTATGCATGCCAGAGCCACGGTCTGCACCCGTCTCCAACTCTAGAGTTGGCTTTTTTGGGGTTTTGGTGAAAAGCTTTATGCTTTCCAAAACTGTTGACAAGCTCTGTTTTAAAAACGACTTAACTATCACCGTGGGATTGGGAAAAGCTTTAATCATTGCTAGGGAGTGGGGCTGGAGAGAAACAGGAATGAATACACACTCCTGGGAGTCCAGTTGCACCCAGTGTGGAGTGGGTAGCCTCGGCTCACACTCCCCAGCTCTGACCTGCGTGAGCCTCTCCGAGCCCGCAGGGCCGCGGGGAGGACTGGCCAAGTCACGGCGCTGTGTGCTGAGCTCCTTCTCAGCACCCTGTAGTGACTGATTTAGCTGTGTCATGTTTGTCAGTATCCCACTTAAACCCCTCCACATTCATCAAGGCAGGCACCTATGCCAAGAGGCCTGGCAACAAACCCACGGCCACACGGCCCCTGTGGCAGGTTCAGGACCCGGGTGCTGGCAGTCTGACCACAGAGCCCCGACTCTTACTGCTTTGTCCTCCTGCCTCCTGTGCTCTGAGTCCGGACACGGCCTTCCTGATACACAGTGGGGGACACCGAGGGCAGAAGCTCCCTAAAGGTTTGCTGTTGACATTACTGTTCCCAGGATGGAAGAGCAGAGAATATCTAGTACAAGTACTGCATTCTAGGTACTTCCCTAGGCATTTTGTTTTTTTAGAAAACTTAAAAGTGTTTACTTATAGTTAAAAATACATATATAAAATTTACCCTAACCATTTCCAGTGCATAGTTCAGCAGCGTCAACCATATTTACATTGTTGTGTGGCAAATCTCTAGAAGTTTCTCAACTTGCAAAATGGAAACTATATCCATTGAACAACTCCCGATTAATTTCTCCCGGTGGCAACCACCGGTCCACTTTGTTTCCATGATTTGGGTGACTTTATTTACCTCGTATAAATGGAGTTGTGCAGTATTTGGCCTTTTGTGACTGGCTTATTTCACTCACCATAATGCTCTCGAGGCTCATCCATATTGTAGCATGTCACAGAATTTCTTTTTCAAGACTAAAGAATATTCCATTATATATATATATATACCATATTTTCTGTATTTGTTCATCCATCCGTGGACATTTGGGCTAGTTCCACGTCTTGGCTATTATGAATAATGCTGCAGTGAACATGGATGTGCAAATATTTCTTTGAGGTCCTGCTTTCAGTTCTTTTGTATATTTACCCAGAAGTGGGACTGCAAGATCATAAGGTATTTTTGTAGTTTTTGAGGAAGCTCTATACTGCTTTTCCACACATGATTTTACATTCCCGCCATCAATATACAAAGGATCCGGTTTTCCACATCCTCACCAACACTTGTTATTCTGTTTTTTTGATAATGGTCATCCTAACAGGTGGGAGGTGGTATCTCATTGTGATTTTGATAGCATTTCTCGAATGATTAGTGATGTTCAGCATCTGTTCATGTGCTTGTTGGCCATTTGAATGTCTTCTTTGGAGAAATGTCTATTCATGTGGCACTTAATTTTTTTTTTTAAAGATTTTATTTATTTATTTGACAGAGACACTGAGAGAGGGAACACAAGCAGGGGGGAGGGGTAGAGGGACAGGGAGAAGCAGGTTTCCTGCCAAGCACGGAGCCCAGTGCGGGGCTCGATCCCAGCACCCCCGGACCATGACCTGAGCTGAAGGCAGACACCCAACGACTGAGCCACTCAGGCGCCCCCGTGTGGCACTTAATTTTTTAATAAGATATTGGCCAGAAACACAGAGATAGAAAGAATACAGCAAACACTGAGGAACTCACCACTCAGCTTAAGAATGAAAGCCTTGCCCATGGTGTTGAAGCACCATCTGACTCCCCAGACAACTTTTCAGGCCTGAACGGAGACAGATATCCTTTCCTTTCAACAGAGATTATTTCCCCGTGTCCACCTGCGGTTTTCCGACCTTCAGTCCATTTGAGAAACAGATTCTTATTCTTCTAGGTTTAAATCTTTTTTTTATTAAAGATTTTATTTATTATTTTTTTAAATATATTTATTTATTTATTTATTTGAGAGAGAGAGAGCATGAGAGGAGAGAGGGTCAGAGGGAGAAGCAGACTCCCCGCTGAGCAGGGAACCCGAGGTGGGACTCGATCCTGGGACTCCAGGATCATGACCTGAGCCGAAGGCAGTCGCTTAACCAACTGAGCCACGCAGGCACCGAAAGATTTTATTTATTTGAGAGAGAGAGAATGAGAGATAGAGAGCACGAGAGGGAAGAGGGTCAGAGGGAGAAGCAGACTCCCTGCTGAGCAGGGAGCCCGACGCGGGACTCGATCCCGGGACTCCAGGATCATGACCTGAGCCGAAGGCAGTCGCTTAACCAACTGAGCCACCTAGGTGACCTCTTCTAGGTTTAAATCTTGGCTCTCCTCTCCCTCACGCAGTGACCTTGAGCAAGTCACTTAACCAGCCTGTGCTTGAGCTTTCTTTCTATAGAATGGGGATAATGATAGTACTTTTGAGAATTACTTGAGTGATTCACTTAAATTGCTATTACTATTAACCTGGCTCCAAAGGGGAAGAAGTTGGGGCACCTGGGTGGCTCAGTTGATAAAGCATCTGCCTTCAGCTCAGGTCATGATCCTGTGGTCCTGGGATTGAGCCCCACATTGGGCTCCCTGCTCAGTAGGGAGCCTGCTTCTCTCTCTCCCTACTGCTCATGCTCTCTCTCTCAAATAAATAAATAAATAAAATCTTAAAAGGGTCGGGGAGAAGTTCTTCAGTGTTTGAGCAAAGCGACTTGTGCATGGTCTCAAAAAGGCTATGGCAGATCTTGAAGAATGACCCTCATGTAGATTTATAGTTTCTGGTATAGCTATGAAATATTCATTGTATTATTTTTAAGTCATTCAAACACACACACACACACACACACACCCTAGAGAAGTACATGCTGCGTCCCCCAGATTTCCCCTTAATATTTCTAGTAGATGGGAGGTTGGGTGAGTAGATGAGATGGTGGGGAGAATGATGGGTAGGGGAAAGTGTGTTAGGTAGATGGTAGAAATCCCAGCAGACCTGGAGTGGACAGTCACATGGTTGCCCAGGATACTGTCCCTAGATCCATGGGCTTTGGAAAGAACCCATGTTTTTCTGTTTCAGGTAAAACTAGAGAGCAACTTTGCCTCCATCGTGTTCGCCATCATGGTGTTAGAGGGGCTTGGCCGCTCACTGGACCCCAAACTGGACATCCTGGAGGCAGCAAAGCCCTTCCTTCTGAAAGGACCAGCGTCCTCCTGCTGACCGCAGCAGTGGGCATGCAGTGGGCCTTCGTCTGAGACCTGAAGGCCACTCCCAACCGCCTCTCCTGTGGCAGCTTGAACATTTTAAAATTGGGATGCATGGAAGGCATACCAGTATTTTTCATTCTGACTTGGTTTCAGGGGTCTGTTTTAAAAGCTTTGGGTTATTTGGGGAAGTGAAGGGAGGGAAGAGCCCTAGCCATTCAGTCGTGGAAGCTGGGCCTGGTGTCGGGGAAGACTATTTCAGGGAAAATGTTCTGTGGAGAAGGACAAATGAACTTAGTTATTTTGTTTTCTCGTTTTTGTCTCCTCTTTTTTTAACCCTCTCTCCTTCCTGATTAGGTGGGTCCTGCTGGGTATTCCATGACTCTGAGATTTAGGTTGGAAAAGGTCACAGAATCCTGTAGACCCATGGCTTCCAAGTGTTTCTGATTACACATCCTTTTGGTGAAATATATATATTTACATATATATGTGCGCATGTATCACTTATTCATAGGTTTTATACAGGTGCCACCACCACTAGCAAATCTCTGGGAGCCACAGTATATATACATGGGGCAAATTTGGCTGTACTCCAAATGATCTTTTTTTTTTTAAGATTTTATTTATTTATTTAACAGAGAGAGACACAGAGAGAGAGGGAACACAAGCAGGGGGAGTGGGAGAGGGAGAAGCAGGCTTCCCGCGGAGCAGGGAGCCTGACGCGGGGCTGGATCCCAGGACCCCGGAATCATGACCCGAGCCGAAGGCAGAGGCTTAACGACTGAGCCACCCAGGCGCCCCTCCAAATGATCTTCTTGATAATTTTTAATATTTTTTGATGATCTCCTGCTCAATTTTATTACAAGGTAAAATGATTAATGTGGCTGACATACTAGGGACAGGAGCAGAATCGGCTCTGCCATTTTCTTCAAGTTCCCCCGTGTTCACATGTTAGTGTTCAGACTGCAGTTTCTCTGGGTAATGTTCAGCCCCTTTTCCATTTGTCCGGAGTCAATTTTGGCTAATATTAACACAGAGATAAAATAATCAGTACATCCTCTTAACCAGGGCTTGAAATCTGCAGTAGCACCCCAGTGGCACCCCAGCAAGGGATTAAGGTGGCCGCTGCCTCCCTCTCTGCCCTGGGTCCACTCCCGGTCAGTTCTCTCAAAGCTGTGGCTGGCCCACACAGGCTAAGGGGCTCCCAGGGTCAGCCGGTAGAGTAGATATTAGTAAAGCTTAGTTTCTTTCTTTCTTTTTTTTAAGATTGTATTTATTTACTTTGAGAGAGGCTGAGAGAGAGGAAGCACAAGCAGGGGGAGGGGCTGAGGGAGAGGGAGGAGCAGGCTCCCTGCTCAGTGGGGAGCCCGATGCGGGGCTCCATCCCAGGACCCTGGGATCGTGACCTGAGCCGAAGGCAGACGCTTCACTGACTGAGCCACCCAGGCGCCCCTAGTTTCTTTCTTTCCTTTTTTTTTTTTTAAATAAAAAATAGCATTTTCTCCCACATCCCAGTGGGTTCTCTTGCTTGCTTTGGAGACCACTGCTCTAGACAGTGAGTGGAAAGTCAAGCTCTCCTGCTCTCTGGAAGTTCTGCTCTGACCACAGCACTCGATTCTTCCATTCTTTCTTTCTCAAGAATCAAGTTCCTCCTTTCTGTCTTTTGGGAAGCGACTAAGGTTTAGTCAGACAGAGAGGTTCATTTGGGGCAGTTTTTTTCAGAGAGCTGGAGATGTTATTTTTACTTACCAAGTCGTGAGGGGAGGGCAGTCTAGTCAGGCAGTGAGGGGCTGGGGTGGCTCAAGGTAGCTGGGAGAGGGCAGTGGCACTGGTTAGCTCGCTCATGGACACCCTGGCCAGACACAGCGCGGATGTGTCAAGTGCACACACACTGAGGTGACGGGGGTACAAGCACAGAGCAGGTGCCATCCTGAGCCCACACCAGCACTACTGAGCTTTAAGTAAAAGCCAGTTGGTTTAATCACACCATAGTGGCACGTACTAGGTAGTTATCTATCAGTGCATACAAACTACCCAAAACTTAGTGGCTTGAAAACAATAAAACTAAGTACCTCACAGTGTCTGCAAGTCAGAAATCTGGGTGCCACTTCCCAGGTCCCCTGCTCAGGGTTTTGCACGGGCTGTGGGCATCTTGAGCCTCCGCAGGGGTGGGTCTGATGCCAAGTTCATTCATGTGGTGGTTGGCACGATTCAGTTCCTCATGGACTGTTGGACCAAGGGCCTCAGTTCCTCAGGAAATTTTACAGTAGCAACAGAGAATGAACACAGGCTGTATTGAAGAGGAGAGAAATGGGCAACAGATATGCTTTAATATGGGTAATTTGCTGATTTTTAAATTACGCATCTTAAAAAGGCAAAACTTGATCTATAAAGTCTTCTTCTTAAGGAGAAAAGGCTATGGCTACTTCCTTGGCTGAGCAGGGAGCCCGATGCAGGGTTGATGTGGGGCTTGATGCAGGGCTCGATCCCAGGACCCTGGGATCATGACCTGAGCTGAAGGCAGAATGCTTAACCGACTGAGTTACCCAGGCACCCCTGTGGAATAGGTTCTTGATTTGGGGTTAGATGCTCTATGTTAGGTTATTTAAAGTCTGTCTTTTGTTAGCAGTTGTCAGTTTGTTAACACTTGACTGGGAATTTGATTCATCATGTAGCAGCTGAGAGCTCAGTGTCAGGGCTCGGCATCCTTCCTCTCACCTTCTAAAATGCATCCTCTCAAATGGGGCGCTCATCTGAGAACCCAAAAGAAGCCACCCCAACCCCTCACTGCCATCATGCAACCTACAAAAAGTAGTAAGGGATATTTGCTCTGGGAGTTCTTAAAGCATGTCTGCAGAACAAACATGCATCACTGCTACATAGTCAAAATAGTTTACTGATTGAGACCCTATACTTTCTACAGTAAAAAAATCAGAATTTGTAATGCAAGACATTAAATCTAAAGACCCCACAAGTGGTCTATAAAACAATATTGCTTTAAATATGAGCAAGCACTGAAGTTAAAACTTTCTTTTGTAATGCAGCAAGAAAGATGTGGAAGGTGAATGGATTTTAATACACCTGAATAGGTTTTGCTACTAGGAAGGGAAGGAATAACAAAGCATAAACATTTCCTGAGTATGTGCTGCAGGCCAGGTACTCTCTTAAATGACTCCCACTCAGATGGGGCCACTGATACTCAGAGAAGTAGAGTGACTTGTCCAAATTCATAGAACTATTAACTGGCAGTGCTGAGGTTTGAACTCTAGATATTTTGGCCCTTTTTTTGTTTAAGCTGTGCTTTTTTTTTTTTCCCCTTGGCCTTGACATCATAAATTCATTCTTTGCTGGGATCAGGGAAGTTGTGTAGCTTGGGCAGTGAGCTCCCAAGGAAGGATGGAAAGCCCTGTCTTCCCAAATCATGAACTTCGTATTTTAGTGGCTTGTACATGTAACTAGAAAGGGTAAGTGGTGAATATGGTAGCTCAGAGAAAGCCACACTAGCATATCAACTAGACAGTCAGCTTTCATCCAGAAGATAGTGGATTCTCTCCTCTAATTTATATACCATCTTAGAAGTTAGGAGGGCAGGACAACAGGGGAGAGTTCTACAAGCCAGAGGGTTAATTAATAGTCTGTTCAGAATGCCACAGGGCAGCTCAGTAATCATAAGCTTTACCTGAGCGTAACTCTAAGGAGAGAGGTTTCCCGTTACAGGGCACATGGACACCCACATCTTGGCACAGAAGGACAGGTGTCAGTTATAGTTAAGGCATTCAAATCCCTACATTTAAGTCTACATTTCTGTCCATAAGTATCCTATTTTTCATGCATGAGTGTGAAGTCTTGAGTGTTTAGCTGAAGGATCATTTGATCCATTTCAAATTGAAATTTCCAAGGTGTAAGGCTGGCAGGCTAACTTTATATAAGTTAATCAAAACTGTCAACTTTTTAGGAAAGCTATAACCCATATATAAGACCTAAGAATTTGCGGGACTGATGTGGGGTGGGCGTCCAGAGAAGCTTAGAGTCCATCCAGGATTTAATAGAAGGCAATATTAAGAGATAAAAGCCAAGAATCCAGGGCTTGGCCCTGGATCAGGGAATTAGAGCACTGCGGAAACTGGAGGCCACGCTAAAATGCAGATTCCTTGGCCCCACTTCGGACTGAAGAGTATCTGAGGTCAGGCTCCTCAGATGAATGTGATGCCACGAGCCCACGTACTGATATTTGGGAACCATTGGCTGCCGGTCGGTAATCAAGTTTGCAGAACAACAGTAAAACAATGAAGAACTTAAAGAAATCGTTGTGAGCCTCTTGCAGGAGAGGAGAGTACAAAGGACTAGCTTTGGGGGGCGCCTAGGTGGCTCAGTCGTTAAGCGTCTGCCTTCGGCTCAGGTCATGATCCCAGAGTTCTGGGATCGAGCCCCGCATTGGGCTCCCTGCTCGGCGGGAAGCCTGCTTCTCCCTCTCCCACTTCCCCTGCTTGTATTCCCTCTCTCGCTGTCTCTCTCGCTGTCTCTCTCTCTCTCTCTCAAATTAAAAAAAAAAAACAAAAAAACCCAAAACTTTAAAAAAAGACTAGCTTTGGTTAGGTCCTCTGGTTCAGAGAGGGTTAGGCGGCCTAAAAGGGTCCGGACGGCTGTTAACTCAGGAGCAGCAGGTAGAGGAGCGGGGGGACGTGGGAAAACACCATCAAGACCAGCAGTCAGGGGGAGCGAGAGCAGACTCAGCGTTGCTTTCTCAGCACACGGGTACAGACTGGGGTTCCTGAAGCCGAGCCCGACGCCCGGCGACCCGAATACGCCTTCCCTGCCCGCGTAAGTTACCTTCTAGGAGGTGGGCGGGCCGACGCCGTGACGTCACGGGGCGGGGCGCCGGGGGGGAAGTGACGTAGGAGGCGGTGAGGCCTGAGAAGTGCTGTCCGGACGCGCGCTGGCATGTCGGCTTTGAAGCGGCTGGCGCCTTTCGTTCGCGTTGGAGGCCGGTGGTTCAGAGGCCCCGGCTCGCGGGCGCCTGGAGGCAGTGGAGTTCGTCAGTGAGTGTTGGCTGGGGGAGGGGCCTCGCCTGCTTCTAACGGAAAACGCCGGTCTTCGGGACGCCCTCACCTTGACGCCGGGCACCTGGGGTGGACCGGGTGCCTGCAGCGACCTCCGCCCCGAGGCATGCTGGGGCTTGGAGTCCGGCTCCGTGACGCCGGGGCCGGGAGAGCTGGGGCCGGGGGCTCCGGGAGGTTTCTTTGCAGGTTTTTATGACCTGAGCCGAAGGCAGACGCTTAACGACTGAGCCACCCGGGCGCCCCCGCTTGCCAGGTTTTAAACTGTGTATCGGGTCACTCCGGCCCCAGGGGAGGCCTGCCCTCGGGAAATTCAGTTAATCGTGGAGGCAAGCTGGAGCTAATCTGGAAGCGAGAGCAGGAGGGAAGAACTTGTACCATATGTTTCCAAGTCAAGTGGGAGGCAAGGAGTAGCACAGAGGCGCCGCGGGAGACCTAGATGTTACTTTTTAAGCAGTTTTAGGTTCACAGCAAAACTGAGCGGAAGGTACAGAGATTTGCCATAACCTTCCTGCCTCACAAGTGCATAGCCTCCCCCATTATCAGCGTTCTCCACGAGAGTGTAGAATTGATTGACACATTATCACCCAAATCCCATAGTTTGTATTAGGGTTTACTCTTGCAACACCAGAATTGAGAGCGAGCAAAAGAAGAGTCACCTGTGAAGTAGCCCAGAAATTCGGCTGGAGAGCATAGTGCTGGGATGCCAAGGGAGGGCACCTGCCAAAAACAAATTGGTAGTGCGGAGAGATTCAGTAAGGGCAGGATGGAAAATAGAACATTGGATTTTTACGGGTGATGTTCCAGGCCCCTTAGATCATCATCATCTGCATTTTTCCAAGAGGCAGTGCAGGGTCGTGGTTAAAAGCAGGATTCTGGCCCCAAACTGCCTGAATTCAAATTTCACCTCTGCCACACTCTAGCTGTTTGGCCTTGGAAAAGTTTCTTGATCTCTAACTGCCTCCGTTTTCTCACCGGAATGATGGGGATAATGTCAGTTTCCAGGGAACTGAGTAAATAACAATTCTGTAAAGTGTTTTGGGACAGCGGCTGCTGCCTAGTAAGGACCTTACCAGTATTGTTTAACTGTTGTTGTTAGGGAACTGAGACTCAGGAACATTAAAGGAGTGACTTGCTTAAAGTTACATGCCTCTTAAAGCTGTGGAGCTGGGACAGGTGTGGGGTGGAAAGAAGAAAAGGCCTGAGTGACCTAAACAAGGACAGTGATGGAAAGCCACCAGCCATAGCCCTTGACCCTGCATGGGAAAACTGAGGAGTGCTTCTCTTCACAGAGGTGTTGTTACTTATGTAACACACCTTATTATTACCACACACTAATTAAGTGGATAGGTATGGAGCATCTTCCAGGTACCAGGTACCTTCCTTTCTAGGTTGTAGGGATAGAGCAGAATACAAGAAAGAGGGCGCCTGGGTGGCTCAGTTGGTTAAGCAACTGCCTTCGGCTCAGGTCATGATCCTGGAGTCCCGGGATCGAGTCCCGCATCGGGCTCCCTGCTCAGCAGGGAGTCTGCCTCTCCCCCTCTGACCTTCTTCCCTCTCGTGCTCGCTCTCTACCATTCTCTCTCTCAGTAAATAAATAAAAATCTTAAAAAAAAAAAAAAAGAATACAAGAAAGATAAGGGAGCTTCCATCCTGGAGAGGACACAAGTAGAAGAGAACATGTTTAGGTACTGTTAAGTGACCTGAAGAAATAAAGCAGGGGATTAATCTAGAGAGTGCCTGGGATGGGGATGGATGGGGTATTGTACTTAGGATGATGTGGCAATACAGGCCTGATGATAATTTGAATAGGACCTGAGTGATAGGTCAGCCAAGCAAAGATGCCAGAAGGAGCCTCTGACAAGGAGACTGCAAATATTGACACTCTGAGTGCTGATGATGGACAAGCAAGCCAGTGAGGCTGGAATGGGCTGAGCAAAGGGAAGAGGTAGAGGTAAGGTCGGGGGGAGGGGTGGGGGCAGGTTAGTGACAGCGCTGTAGGGATTTTATTTTAAGAATGATGGAAAGCTATTCGAGACTTTGAAGCAGGAAAATGATATGATCTGGTTTCACTTTTTTTTTAAGTTTATTTATTTTTAATAATCTCTGTACCCAATGTGGGGCTTGAACCCATGACCCAGAGATCAAGAGTCATATGCTCTTCTGACTGAGGCAGCCAGGCACCCCTTTTTATCACATATTTTTTGATATGATCTGGTTTATGTTTTAAAATGTAACTTTCACAGAGTTACGCATTTTTGTTTTTAAACTTGACACTTAAAAATCCTGGGTTGGAATAGCTATTATTTCTTGGGACACTGTTTCTTCCACATTCTGTTTTTTCCTTATGGAACAGGAATTGGGCATATGTCAAGTTTTCTCATGCTCCTAACCTTAATTACATTTTTTTATTTCTAGAAATTCTTTTTGCTGTTTTTAAACCTGTTTGTTCTTTAGAATGAGTTTCTTTTTCCTTGCTCTTAATTTCACAGTGCTCCACACTCAGCAGGGAGTCTGCTTGGGATTCTCTCTCCCCCTCCCCCTCTTGTGTACTTTTTATCTCTCTCTAAAATAAATAAAATCTTAAAAAAAAAGATTCTCTGCCCCTCCCCTTCTAAAAATTAAAAAAAAAAAGATTTCCGTCTTGCAGTCAGTGACCCACTTTCTCTTTCTTTCGATTTTATTTCTTTAGAGAGCGTGAGCAGGGGGAGGGGCAGAGGAAGAGAGAGAGAATCTCAAGTGGATTCTGTGCTGAGTGTAGAGCCCTACCTGGTGCTCGATCCCATGATCCTGAGACCATGACCTGAATCAAAATCAAGAGTCATTTGCTTAACCTACTGAGCCACCCAGGCGCCCCTCTTTTTTTTTTTTTTTTTTCTTTTTAAAGTAATCTGTCCACCCAGCATGGGGCTGGAACTCAAAACCCGGAGATCAAGAGTCGCATGCTCTACCAACTGAGCCAGCTAGGTGTCCCAGTGACCCACTTGTTTCAAGGAATAGTTAAAACAGCATGTCACTCTAGCAATAATGAGATGTGGAGTTCCTGGTAGTGGGTTTGAACTATAATTCTCAAATATTATTTTAATGCATTTAACTGATGGGCCCTTATAACTAGATTGTATCTAAAAACCTATCAAAGAGGAAGCCTGTTGTTACAGTATATTGAATTCCCATCCCCATGGTTTGTTTGTATAATACAGTATTTATATGCACAGATCCTGAAGACTGTTAAATAGAATTGGCATATGATGGCATTACAGAAATAGTGTGATATATTCTTCAGGTTGTAAAGCAATGATGCTTGAGGGAGGCTTTTAAAGGTAATGTGTGGTAGAGGCGCCTGGGTGGCTCAGTATGTTAAGCGTCTGCCTTTGGCTCAGGTCATGATCGTCCCAGGGCCCTCCGTATAGCCCCGCATCAGGCTCTCTGCTCAGCAGGGGGCCTGCTTCTCCCTCTCCCACTGCCTGCCACTCTGCCTACTTGTGATCCCTCTCTCTCTCTCAAATAAATAAAATCTTTTAAAAAAATAAAAGTAATATGTGGTCAGGGGCATCCAGGTGGCTCAGTCGGTTAAGCGTCTGACTTCGGCTCAGGTCATGATCTCAGGGTAGTGGGATCGAGTCCGACATCGGGCTCTCCACTTAGCAGGGAGTCTGCTTGTCCCTCTACCCCCCCCCCCGCCGCATCTTGCTCACTCTGAAATAAATCTTAAAAGTAATATGTGGCCACTATTTTTAAAAAAGATACATTTTACTCAGCCATAAGAAAAAAAATTTTGCCATTTGCAACCACGTGGATGGAGTCAGACAGTATTATGCTAAACAAAATAAGAGAAAAACATGATTTCACTCATGTGGAATTTAAGAAAACAAATGAGCAAAGGGGGAAAAAAAAAGAGGCAAATGAAGAAACAGACTCGTAACTACAGAGAACATACTGGTGGTTACCAGAGGGGAGGTGGTGGGGGAATGGGTAAAACAGGTGATGGGGATTAAGGGGTGCACTTGCTGTGATGAGCACCAGTTGTATGGAAGTGTTGAATCACTATATTGTACACCTGAAATTAATTTTTTTTAAAGATTTTATTTATTTATTGACAGAGAGCGAGCGAGAAACAATACAAGCAGGGGGAGCTGCAGGCAGAGGGAGAGGGAGAAGCAGGCTTCCCGCTGAGCAGGGAGCCCGATGTGGGGCTCCATCCCAGGACCCTGGGATCACGACCTGAGCCGAAGGCAGATGCTTAACGACTGAGCCACCCAGGCCCCCACCTGAAATTAATATTACACTATATTGTAACTAACTAGAATTTAAATAAAGACCTAAAACACATACAAAACCTCCCACATACATACATATGCAAAAATAAAAGCCATCTTATATCATCCATAGCTAATTATCAATATTTTATGTAGAGCCTTCCAAATAAAAGTGTTAATATATTGAATAAATATTTACATAAAAATGAAACTATCACTTCAGTGTGGTATGCTGATGGGAATTCTAATTAAGAACTGTGTCTTTGGTTCATAAAATGAGAAAATTATTAATATTGTTTGTTTATAGGCAATACATAAGAGCTTAGGCTTTGCCTCCAAATAATACCCCAATGTTTTCATTTGTAAACATTAAGAACCATAGGATCTGTCTCCTAGGGTTATGAAAGTAAATGATAATGCATGTAAAATGCTTCGTGTGGTATACGGCACACGGTAGACACTCAGGAAATGATAACTATTCATAACCTTTAAGAGCAGGACAGGCTAATAAAAAGGGTAGGAGGTAATATGTATCAGGGACCATTGATGTATTCATGTTCACAGATCTACAGTGCATTTTGAAGAAATGTTAGTGCAGTTTTGGTAGTTTTTGCTGCACAAAAGAGCACATTGTTTTACAAGCTGTTCTTAAATTTGTGAATACATTTACTGTGGAAATTCTCTTTAAATTCTTTATTTTTGTATAGTAGAATATGTATAGCTGCTAAATAGAACTTGACAGTAATGCCATTAAGTACAAATTATATTATTTAAGTTAGATTCAATCAATAATTATAATCTAACTGAATAAAATGCAGACCTCATGGATTGTGTCCCACAATTTGTCAACAGAATCTAAATGGAAAAAAAAAGTTGTTCATATTGACTCTTTAAGGCTCTTTGCTTTGTTCAGAACTATTAGCTTATGAAGAAGGATTTGCTGGTGCAGTTAGAACATGCGACTCTTGATCTCAGGGTCATGAGTTCGAGCCCCACATTGGGTGTAGAGATTGCTAAAAAAAAAATTAAAGATTTGCTGAGTTCTCTTTCCCATGTAGTGTTCTTTATATTAAGAAAGACTGTAATAGAGCAGAGGACATAATTTACCTTTGAAATAGATATGGCTAAACAGAACAAGATTAACTTCCTGATTTGTTTTTCTAGATAAGCTAAGTGCCCAGCTACTGCAGGTTCACATCCCTTAACTGAAACTTTGGAGCCAGTACCCCTATTTCTGCTGTAAAATACATGAATATTCACTAAAGGGAAATAATCGTCTTTCTTCCTTGCAGATCAGTTTTTGCTGCCAAACAAGTTTAAAAGCAAGCTTATGAAAAATGAGTTTTGAGGGATTATGGAGCTCTGTCATCCTGTACTTCATGGAGGAGATGAGAAACGTTAGATTTAGTTTCTAGTTGGAACTCAAAAGTTTTGGATGACTTCAGACTTAGAAGAGGTACCGAGGTGCATGACATTTTGTTCTGTCTCGTAGTGCTGGTGGCGGTGTGCATATCGAGCCACGGTATAGACAGTTTCCCCAGCTGACCAAGTCCCAGGTGATCCAGGCCGAGATATTCAGTGGGACCATGTGGTTCTGGATTCTCTGGCGTTTTTGGCATGACTCAGATGCTGTGCTGGTAAGTGCAGAAGAATAATTCTAATATATTAATAAAATATTATAACATTAGATTATTACTAATATATTAATAGCTTTTTTTTTTTTCCCTCCTTCCTGTTTGTAGACCATTTTTGTATCTGGATATATCCCTTTACCATGTTGTCTTTGTATACATGCAGGAATCCTGTTATTTAATGGAATACATTATCCCTGACCTTTCCTACTCACAGATGTGTATGTAGGTGGTAGTCCATCTCTTATGGCTTTTGTTAGGTTGCCATATTTGGAAGGAAGACTAGAAACAAATCGTTTTACCTTCTGAACCAGGGGTTCATCAGTGGGTTAAGTTTCACGCTTAAATTTCTTTAAATGCACCTCACACCAGTCAGAATGGCTAAAATTAACAAATCAGGAAATGACAGATGTTGGCGGGGATGTGGAGAAAGGGGAACCCTTCTACACCGTTGGTGGGAATGCAAGCTGGTGCAGCCACTCTGGAAAACAGTATGAAGGTTCCTCAAAAAGTTGAAAATAGAGCTACCATACGACCCAGCAATTGCACTACTGGGTATTTACCCCAAAAATACAAATGTAGGGATCCAAAGAGGTATGTGCACCCCGATGTTTATAGCAGCAATGTCCACAATAGCCAAACTGTGGAAAGAGCCAAGATGTCCATCAACAGATGAATGGATAAAGATGATGTGGTATATATACACAATGGAATATTATGCAGCCATCAAAAAAAGAAATCTTGCCATTTGCAACGACGTGGTTGGAATTAGAGGGTATTATGCTAAGCGAAATAAGTCAGTCAGACATGTATCATATGACTTCACTGATATGAGGAATTCTTAATCTCAGGAAACAAACTGAGGGTTGCTGGAGTGGTGGGGGGTAGGAGGGATGGGGTGGCTGGGTGATAGACACTGGGGAGGGTATGTGCTATGGTGAGCGCTGTGAATTGTGTAAGACTGTTGAATCACAGACCTGTACCTCTGAAACAAATAGTACATTATATGTTATAAAAAAAAGAAGATAGGAGGAAGGGAAAAAGGAGGGGGGGGGAAATTGGAGGGGGTGACGAACCATGAGAGACTATGGACTCTGAGAAACGGGGAGAGGGGTGGGGGGATGGGTTAGCCTGGTGATGGGTATTAAAGAGGGCACGTACTGCATGGAGCACTGGGTGTTCCACGCAAACAATGAATCATGGAACACTACATCAAAAACTAATGATGTCATGTATGGTGATTAACATAACATAATAAAATAAAATTTAAAAAAATACAGAGGACTGAAAAAAAAATTCTTTAAATGCTGAATGTCATCTAGTCTGTCTAGAGGCCCAGGGCAGCCAGATTGGGGTGGGAGAGATGTGGGTTACTTTGTCTTAAGGTAGAAGTTAGCTAGTGGTAACTTTCTAATGTGTCATTAGCCTTGACTAAGCTTTTATGACTTTTACACAGACCCTGTTCTCTAGGAAGTTACGCCTTTAAGCCATTGAAATCTGTGCTTGTTGATCTGGATAGGATAGGAAAAAAACCTTCACTGTGCACGTCTTAGGCGCATCATTTCTCTTAGAACTTGTCTGTGCCTTTGTCATGCAGTAGAGAGCTGCTTAGTGTCTGTGAATTGGCAGCACATAGTCACCCCTACCTCATTGTAGGTCAGCTGTCAGGAGGATATGTGGCTGCTTGGCCTGAGACGAGGATGCCACCAGACAGTCCTAGGTCAGGACTGAAGATGCATGAGCCCAATGAGGCTCCCAGATCTCTCCCAGGTCGGCAGCAGTGATAGGTCATTTTGAGACATTCTGTTTTACCCGAGCTTCAAAACATTGTCGAGATATGGGCTGTCTTTGAAATCTGTTGTGTCCCTTCCTCCATCACAAACACATATGAAATGCTGGCTCAGCCTGGTGGCTCCAAAATGGGTCTTTTAAAATTCAGGCCACAGCCCATATTGAGCAGATTGAAGAACAGTTGGACAGTCAAATAGTTAAAGTAGTAGAATTTGTTCCTGTGGCTTGTCAAGGGCTGTGTATGTGATAGCCTTACCATTTTTTTTTTTAAACTCCTTGTATGGGATATTTACTTTTTTTTTTAATGGTTGTCGCCAGGGTCACTTTCCATATCCAGATCCTTCCCAGTGGACGGATGAAGAACTAGGTATCCTTCCTGATGATGAAGACTGAAAGTGTAGATTGAACTCTTTGCAAGCAGGTATGCCCCAAATTCCTTTTTAAAGTTGTTTATCTTGTGTCAATTAAAATGTTTGACTTTATGATGGTCTTGAAGACGGTACATTTTCTAAAAGCATGAAGGACAATTAACTATATCGTGTCTAATTTCTGCCTTTAGTATTTTTGTATTTGCTGTCTTCCTCCCATCCCCTTCTTTTGGTCTCATCTTCTTTTTCACTATTTGTTTTAAAAAATTTTCTTTCCCTGAGTTGTGTTACAATTTAGGGTCCCGTTTAGCCATCTATTGATCAAAGACTTTTTAAAAAAAATTTATTCCTGGGCGCCTGGGTGGCTCAGTTGGTTAAGCGACTGCCTTCAGCTCAGGTCATGATCCTGGAGTCCCGGGATCGAGTTCCGCATCGGGCTCCCTGCTCGACAGGGAGTCTGCTTCTCCCTCTGACTCTCCCCCCTCTCGTGTACTCTCTCTCTTTCTTTCTCTCTCATAAATAAATGGAATCTTAAAAAATAAATAAATAAATAAATAAAAAAAATTTATTCCTTTTCTAAGATTTTATTTGAGAGAGAGAGAGAGAGATCACAAGTAGGGGGGAGGGACAGAGGGAGCTGCAGGCTCCCTGCTGAGCAGGGAGCCCAGTGCGGGGCTCGATCCCAGGACCCTGGGATCATGACCTGAGCCGAAGGCAGACACTTAACCAACTGAGCCACCCAGGTGCCCTCCACCCTAAGTGTCTAAATGGAAAGTTCCAGCATATGGGAATGTTAGGATATGGAATTGTGTGGAAATTAAAAGGTTATGGCCCTTTCATTTTTCCAAATTAGGAATCAGAGTTTTTCTTCTTTCAAAAGGAAGGTCCTAGGAGTAGGTACTAGAAAAAGGAGTCTCTTCCCACAAACCCCTTGGAGTTAAGACATTCTCATGTAATGTTTTTAAATTAATCATTGCACATAAATAATTGCCATCACTCAAAATGCCTTGGAAATTGTTTTATTTATTTATTTTTGGGAATTGTTTTAAAGGCTAGGAAGCATTAAAGGAAAAAGTGTTCCTGTTACATCATATTGTTAGTATTGTTACTCTGATTTTAATCAGACGTAGTTTATTAACATGGACAGCAGTTTTGGGGTCTTTAGGGAGCAGGGGGATGGGAAAAAATGTCACCGAAGGGCAGGCAGTGAAGCTGTTACAATTTGTTCGTGTCTCTCGACCCGTGTCTCCTGCTGTTCCGTGTCTCCAGGCCCCGCCAGGACCCCACTTCCCTGTGTAATATGTCTGCCGGCATTAACCTCTCCTCTTCCTGTGGATTTCCCAGTATTCTCACACATGGTCGTTAATATTTTATTTTAAAGAGGAGACTAAACCCTTTGAGAAAGCAAGGTGCCTTTGCTTCTCTAAAAGACTACTCCCATAATCTGTGTTCAGTGAATGCTTGAATAATGGAATGAACCAAAATTATGAATTTGAATTACTGAAAATAAAAGACTTAAAGTTTTCTACTTTTGTTTCCCTGCAGGAGCCAGGTGAGAATTTCAAGCAGTTACGGACTTCATATTGTACTTGGAAGTTGTACAATTAAAGCGTTTTGGTCAACAGTAAGGAACTGAGTTTTGGATGTTTCTGAGAACGACAGCCACCCTTTATGGATTATTTCCTGTGCCCCCGGCTGCTGTCCTCATTGGTTATAGGCCCTTTCAGTGGGTCCTCGGGGTTACCCGGGGGTGGAGACAGACATTAGCTCCACTTACCAGTGAAGCGATTGAGGCTGAAGCCGATGAGGTAACTTGGCCTGTGGGTCACACGTGGATGAGGGGCGACGTTGGGTCTGACCCTGCACTTACCTGCAGCGCCAGACTGCCTTCCTCCTAGTGAATGTTTTGGTCACACGTATGGTGACAGTGCGAAAACTCTGGCCGTCTCTCTACTGCTGGTGCCATCTTGCCCTGATTCACAGAGGTTAGAGGTCCGTGCAGTCCAGTTCTTGTGTATTTGTGTATCTCTCGTGGGCTGGGCGTTGTGCTGAGTGGCCATTTGTGGACCTAAGACACACGTCTAACTAGGATATCTTTGGGCTGGAGGAATGGGCGATATGGGTGAAATAGGCTATTCTACTTTTTCTAAAATGTGTTTGTACTTTGGAACTTTCTGTAGTGTTGCAATTCTGAGTAGGTAGGACAGAATTTTCTCTTACCCACAGATAAAAATCTGCAGTATAGAGTGGCTTAATGACTTGCCCAGAAGCATAACTGTTCATATTTTTAATTTAGGCTCTTGACCACTGAAGTGTTGGGAATACAGTGCTGAATAAGACAGATGATTCAGTTCTTTTTTTTTTTTTTAAGATTTTATTTATGTATTTGACAGAGACAGCGAGGGAGGGAACACAAGCAGGGGGAGTGGGAGAGGGAGCAGCAGGCTTCCTGCTGAGCAGGGAGCCCGATGCGGGGCTCGATCCCAGGACCCTGGGATCATGACCTGAGCTGAAGGCAGCCGCTTAACGACAGCCACCCAGGCGCCCAAGATGATTCAGTTCTTAAGGGATCTAGATTTTAGTAAGGGAAGACAGACACAGATTGATTATATGAGACTTATTAAGTGCTCTGAAGGAAAGCACATGGGGTCGTGTGCTAGAGATAGCTGGGTACTGATCTTTGGGGGGTGGAACCTGAATGAGGAGGAGGAGCCAGTTGTGTGGGGGTCTAACGGGAGCGTGCTCTGGGGACAAGGGACAGCAAGAACCAAGGTCTGGGATGGGACCAAGGTCACTGTGTTTCAGGAACACAATCCAGTGGGGCTCCAGCAGGAGAGGAGATGGGGACTAGATGAAGCTTAGGTCATGGTCGCAGGTTTAGGTTTTATGTCAAGTGCAGTGAGAAGCCTCTGGCAGGCTCTGAACGGGGTCATCCTTGAGTTCCCACTCCGCTTTGGTTCTCGGTTGTCAGAGTGGACACAATGGCAGCAAAGTGGAAGCCAGGGGCCCAGTTCTACCCTCCCTACTGCCAGCTCCTGGGCCTGACGCAGCGCTGCTAGAGACACTTCTCTTGGTTTTGTTTACTCACGTGGGTAAGAGGCAAGCAGTCTCAGCTCGGCTGAAAATACAGAAGCTCTTTAAAAGGCCGTCTCTGTTCTGTACCTTTTAGGTCTAATTTTTGTTGTCTTCCTTCAGCCAACAAAGTGTTTTATTTCTGTGTACTCACTGTAACTGTGAACTCAAGTAGGATTATCCCATTAGCTCTTTTCCTTAGAAATCATTCAGAGTTGCTTGATCGGAATTAATGGTAACTTTAAAAACGCAGTCTTCTAAACTCAGCGGCCTCCACATACTGAATCCTCCTTTTCATAGCTGGGCTGTGAAACCAGTCTTAGCTGATGCAGAAGTTGTCCCCAGCCTTCTCTCCGAGTAACGACCTCCACCCTGTCACATCTGACTCAAAGCACCCAGGGGTTGGGGCACCAACCCTGAGCAGTCGCAAGTCCGAGTATCACTTTTGGCTCCCCCAAAACCTAATAGCCTACTGTTGACTGGAAGCCTTATTGAGAACATAAAACAGGCAATTAATATGTTTTGTATGTTATGTGTATTACATGTTGTATTCTTAAAGCTAGAGAAAAAAATTAAAATCCTAAGGAACAGAAAATAATTTATAGCACTGTACTGTATTTATCAAAAACAATCATGTATAAGTGGACCAGCACAGTTCAAACCCATGTTCAAGGGTCAGCTGTACACCTCAGGGGAAAATAAAGTGAGAGAGAGCCCCAAAGAGATTTTTTTTAAGATTTTATTTTATTTGAGAGAGAGAGAATGAGAGAGAGCACGAGAGGGAAGGGGTCAGAGGGAGAAGCAGACTCCCCGCCGAGCAGGGAGCCCGATGTGGGACTTGATCCCGGGACTCCAGGATCTTGACCTGAGCCGAAGGCAGTCGCTTAACCAACTGAGCCACCCAGGCGCCCCTCCAAAGAGATGTTAAGTACATTTGATTGACGGTTATATATAGTTGAATAGTGGGAACTCAGGGCTTACTGTGGTCCAGGCACTGGTAAAAACTTAGCATGTGTTAATTCTAATGTATTAAGTGCACATTCTTTCCGTTTTATGGATGAGGACACTGAGCTATAGCCAGGTGACTTGTCCAAGGTCATACAGGTAGGGCTGAGGTTCAGATCCTGGCTGGCTGGCCGGCTCTAGGCCGAGTCAGATTATCTGAGAGTCAGTACAGCATATGTAAACCTTTTTGATCATGACCTACTCACAAGTAATTTTACATCGTGACCTAGACTACATGACTGTGTGAGTGTGCATATAATGCATATAATCCAATTTTGTGAAACAGTACTTGCTGTGATACACACTGATGCTTTCTCTTATTCTGGTCTATGTACAAGATGGTTGACTGCGACTGATTTTACTATCCACTAATGGGACTCAACCTGCAGTCTGAAGAACTGGCACAGTGCTTAAAGAATTCAGGCTCTGGAGTCGAACTTGCTGGATCTGACTGCTTTACCATTTACTTGGTGTGACTTTGGGCAGATGACTTATCTGATCTCTTCTTCAACTTCCTGATTTGTAAAAGGGATTAGATTAAATGCGTTCGCACATAAAGCTCTTAGAACCACATCTGCTATGAAGGAAGTAACTCTAAATGGAAGCAACTGCTATTTCTAGACCACTGGGTCTAAGCTAAGTTTATAGTGACCCTTGAATCCCAGGCTGATTTGTATAGAAAACCCCAGACGAAGCCTGTGAACAGGTACTCCAGCAGATGCAGTGCCAACGTTTAGGATGTCTCGTGCTCCCAGGGCGTGTCAGGGTATGGCTAACAGATGGACAGCAGAGACGTACCTTCACAAATGAAAAAGGCAGGTGGTGAAGAAATGACTGATGGCGTCAAATCAAGCGTCTGACTTTATTAGTTTCCTATGGAACCTTGAGTGCAAATAACATGGGAGGCACTGGGTAGGGAACCTGTGGTTGTGTGCATGTTACAGGAAGATACAGAAGTCAGCTCGGTTCCACTTGCCCCCAGGACTAGTCTGGAAGAGGTGGACCTGATTGCCTGCTGCCACTACCTCGTTGGAAGCCACAGTGGGGAGTGGAGGAACCCGGGGCGGCTTGAGCTAGTGCTGACCTGCCTCAGCAGCTAGGCCTCTGCCTTCTGTCACTTGCCCGAATGGCCATGACATCAGAGGCCAGTGGAGGATGCCTGGCACAACACCCATTTCTATGCAAATTTTGTTACAGCCATTACAACCATAACAGAATTATATATTTTTATTTATATATCTATATCACTGTGTATATATAAATAAAATACACATTGTTCATATATAATACATACTACTGCTGTTGAAAACAGAAGTCCTGAGTCTTGGCCACGTGAGCCTAGGGAAGTCATCCCTGGGGATTCCTAGTCAGTAAGTGACAGTGAAGGGACTTGGACCAGCATATCCTTAAGGATTCCTTCTGCACTAACATTTTATGAGCCTAGGAGAACTATAGAACCCAGACAGCAGGTCCAAGGATCACAGCCCCTGATAAAATTTCAGAACTAATATGGTAGGGTGCTATAAAGCAGAATTTTATCACAGTAATGAAAGCGTTTATGTTCTGGACTAAATTTTAAGGAAAACCTCTTGTAGAATAATACATTCTTAAAAAATAAGGCCCCAATCACTCTGTTGTAATCATGTGTGAAGGTTCTTTAAAAATGAGTTTCTCAAAAAAAAAAAAGCTTCTATAATGTTTGTACTACAGAATTACATTTTTTAGATGAGAAAGCTAGAGTGCAGAGAAAATACTTGTCTCTACAGAATTTTATGAGTAGTTGGAGGGGCATGAAGGCCAGAAACCAGATGCCTCAAATAACGTGCCATCCTGAAGACTTTTCTGTTCCTTCCTATAGTTCTGGGACAATAAGGTTTCCAAGTGAAGTTTTAAAATGGTTTACTTCTCTTCTGGAAACTGCCCAGTTATCTGACATAGCTAGAAGTTATTTTAGGGGTCTTTCAAACTTGAGATCATGAAATCACATGCACAAAATCAACTCACTGGGGTGGCCAGTATTTTTAAAAAACAGTATAGGGGCGCCTGGGTGGCTCAGTCGGTTAAGCGGCTGCCTTCGGCTCAGGTCACGATCCCAGGGTCCTGGGATCGAGTCCCACATCAGGCTCCTTGCTCAGCAGGGAGCCTGCTTCTCCCTCTCCCTCTGCCTGCCTGCCACTCCCCCGCTTGTGCTCTCTCTCACTATCTCCCTCTCTCTGTGTCAAATAAATAAATGTTAAAAAAAAGTATAAAACACAATGCACAGTTTCAGATATGTATGTCTGAGTACATTCTGTGTTCCCACAGAAAATGTACTGGAAATTGTGTCAAAAAAAAAATTGAAAGATACACTTTTAAGGGGAACTTCTCCAGATGAGACTCTTAACTTTAATGACTCAATTACTGCACCCACTTCAACTGAGCCACTGCACGGGAGCAGTCAGGTCAGAGCGTCACAAAATATCTGAGGGGCATCACCAACACTGGACAGAAGGCTGTCCTTACCACAGGAGTGCAGCTGGTACAATGTAGCAGGCATTCATCTGGACGACTT